TCAGGTTTCGATTGATGCAAACCAACGGCCCATTCGGATCGAACCGGGGTTGGATCCAAGGGTTCGGATTGAACCCATTTTTGGGGCGGAGGGATACGAGGTAAATTTTGTCTCTTCCGACTTTTCTGGATAGACCCACCCCCAACTGGCAAATACTTCCCTCGGTTGCTTTCTGCTCCCCTGCTAAAAGTTTAACTTTTCGCGTTTGTTTCTGGAAAACCCATCAACGTGGGCAAAAAGTTAAAGCCCTAACATCCAGGGGCAAAATGCGACAAAGTTCCCTTGGGGAGGGGATGCATGGGGAAGAGTCCCCTTCGATGCACGGTGGGCACGCCGGCCTCTTCATCCTCCGCGTCAGCCATCTCTCCGGCGTCTCTTGGGCCGCTTGGGATGCAAGTGGCTGACCGGCGCAAGCTATGATGCACTTGCGAGACTAATAGTCCTTTTCCGCTCTTAGTATCCCTCTTTTCCGGCCTTAGTGTCTCATGTTCCGTTCGTAGTTAGAACACTTTGCACTTGGCCGGGTGGCCCACACACCAGCGGCCCAAGCAAGTTGCGAACAAGGAACGTCTCCCAAAACGAATTAATTCCCCCATGTTTTGAAGCCGTATTTTCCTGGTGCCATGTGCGTGTGCCGGTCCAATGTGCGACACAACGCCGGCTGCGCAATGTCCAATGCTGGCGATTGCTCGCCGCAGCGCTTTTCCACGGAACCAATAATCTTGGTTGCTTCAACTCACTTGCCAAACCCGGAATTGAACAGGTAACAGGTTGAGACCTGGATTGATGGGAAGCCAGGAAACCAAACGGTTCAACGGTCGTCCTTTTTTGGGTGAATGAAGGGAAATCCATCCAACAGCAGGAAGAAGGGGGGGGTGCTGGACTGCTCGAATCGGAACATGTCTGTCAGTTGGGCTGGTGCGGGGGTGCGGGTGGGGGGGGGAGTTCTCTCACATCTTCCAGTTGTCTCATGATGACGACCATGGCGTTCAAAGCAGGAAGCAATGGAAAAGACAAACAACAAGCAAGCTGCCCCCGTTCAAGTCTAGAACCACCTAGATTGATCTTCACATGAATCGGTGTTACGCGATGCTTCATGATTTGCACGTCACGACCGCATGTGATAAGGTAAGAGAGAGGGCCAGGCTTTACGTACGCGTATGTGTCTCAAGGTAGAAGTTCAAAAAGTGAGGCTTCGTTTTCCCTTCAAACCAACCGGTCCCTGAATCGGCTGATCAAATGCTGCGTCCGGAGGCGAAACACCCCAGTCGAGAACCAGGTGTGATTGACACAAGGGCGCTTTTTCACCTGGAATACCTTTGGGTTGACATGGATTTGTGCAACCAGCCATTTCGGGTGCCACTTAGGGAAGCTCGGATCTCTGCTGATACAGCTTGCACCACCCAATCAAAAATCAGCTAGGGTTCTCTTCATCTGTCCCAAAATAGGTGATCTCCCAAACTTTTCCGGAAAACATAAAGAAAACACATGAACAGACTACCCTCCAGAAATGCCACACCTGACTTGGATGCGAACTATGCAAAAGTGGGCTCTGACCTCCGCAGCTCATGTTTTGCAAAGTTCAAGGCAAAGCAAAACAACTCAACCGATAAAGACAACCAGTAAAGGATAAAGGACAACTGAACAAAACAAACACAAGTACTAAAACACGGCGAACATCGAGTTCCAAACAAAAACATACACCAGTTGTGTCAAAGTCTGTTTGGAGCCCTTGCAGTACTACCCCTCTATCAAATAGACCCCCTAAGAAAACGCCAACACTCATCAAAACAAACTCACTTTGAAATGGGCTGGTCCAAAACATGCTGGTTAAACCCCGTCAAAATGATAAGCGCCTCTCAAAGCAGGGGTGGGATCCCCAAAATGGGCTTGAGGATGCCTCCTCAGAAGGCACACGCGCTCACACAAACACAATCAAAGGGCAAGAATACAACCACTGAAAGGGGGCGTTTATAGAAACATGAACATGTAAATACAAATGTATATATATATATATATATTTATAAACACCTCCAACGACAACAGCAACAACGACAACAACAACGACAACAACAACAACAACAACAACAACAACAACAACAACAACAACAACAACCACAACCACAATCACAACCACAGCCACAGCAACTGAAACAGCAACAGCAACAGCAACAACAACAACAACAACACCACCAACAACAACAACAGCACCAACCCAACAACAACAACAACAACAACGACGACGACAACAACAACAACAACAACAACAACAACAACAACAACAACAACAACAACAACAACAACAACAACAACAACAACAACCACAACAACAACCACAACCACAACCACAACCACAACCACAACCACAACCACAACCACAAACAAACAACAACCACAACAACAAACAAACAAACAAACAAACAAACAAACAAACAAACAAACAAACAAACAACAACAACAACAACAACAACAACAACAACAACAACAACAACAACAACAACAACAACAACAACAACAACAACAACAACAACAACAACAACAACAACAACAACAACAACAACAACAACAACAACAACAACAACAACGACAACGACAACGGCAACGACAACGACAACGACAACGACAACAACAACAACAACAACAACGACAACGACAACGACAACGACAACGACAACGACAACGACAACGACAACGACAACGACAACGACAACGACAACGACAACGACACTGACAACGACAACGACACCGAGAACGACAACATCAACAACATCATCATCAACAACAACAACAACAACGGAACCACAATGACAACAACGACAACGACAACAACGACAACAACAACTCCAACGACAACCACAACAAGAACAATAACAATAACAATAACAAGAACAAGAGCAAGAACAAGAACAAAAGCAAGAACAAGAACAATAACAATAACAAGAACAACAACAACAACAACAACAACAACAACAACAACAACAACAACAACAACAACAACAACAACAGCAGCAGCAGCAGCAGCAGCAACAGCAACAGCAACAGCAACAGCAACAGCAACAGCAACAGCAACAGCAACAGCAACAGCAACAGCAACAGCAACAACAACAACAACAACAACAACAACAACAACAACAACAACAACAACAACAACAACAACAACAACAACAATAACACCAGTCTGCAGTTGTTCAGTTGTTGCCGTGATTTTTCAGATGCAAATACATTGGAGTTAGATGTTAAGTTTGACTTTTGTTACAACAGGGAAAAGCAGGACAACCACCACTGTTGGAAGCATTGTTTTGGACTAACCTCATATTTTGGTGGGTGTCAGTTGGTTGCAAACATCGCCTATATATGCTCCCCTTGTTTGCCTGTTGTTACTGTTGATGTTGTTGTTGTTGTCGTCGTCGTCGTTGTTGTTATTGTTCTTGTTGTCGTTGTGGTGATGGTGGTGGTGGTGCTGGTGCTGGTGCTGTTGCTGCTGCTGCTGCTGTTGATGTTGCTGTTGCTGTTGCTGTTGCTGTTGCTGTTCTTGTTGTTCTTGTGGGGTGTGGCTCAAAATTAAACAGGACGGGTTACGCAGGTTTTGGTCCATGTTTCCACTTACCAGGGTTCCATGTTGGTGCCGGCTTTTTGAGCCACAGCCGTGTTCTTGTTGTCCCCCCCGGCCCCCGGCCCCAACCCCACTCCCACCCCCACAACCTGGACTCCAGCGCTGGGACCCCCAGCATCAGATGCCAAGGAACCATAGCAGGACGCTGCTAGGTGGCATGGATGCCCGGAGCACGCTTCGTTTGGGCTCAGCGTTGTTTGCAGGTAAATGAGGCTAACCTGTTCTTGAGCGAGGCGCGGTCTAAATGGGGCAACGAGTCTTCTCTAGGGTTGCTCCCAAGGAATCTGTTCTAAACGAGTGAATATGCCAACCGTCACCCTGCGCTGGTACCCCTTTATATTTGTGTAACTTGCACGCTAAGGGTTTCTAGGATTGCCTCATGACTCGGGAACGCTCTGGCGGGTGGGGTCGCCCACATACTCCCAAGTCATTTGCACCCAGTGTGAACCAAGCAAAAAAGGGGATTCCCCCAACAACGAATACATCCATGTGAATAAGTTTAGGAGTGAGCGGTTCAACAGCGGAATGTACATTTCCGGAGGCTTTCGGGCCATCAATACGTTGAGGTCTTTGGGATGATTTGGCGAGCGCCCATTTGATCCAAATCGGCTCGACTCAGGTCGCTGTTTTCACGGCCGACGTGAGCAAGGCTGCACCTGATTCTAGACATCTTCTTCCATCAGGGATTGCTTCAAAGCATTGACCCAGGGGACACAAAGAACCCAATACCAAACTTCGACCCTCTTGGCCTTGCCATGCAACCCACCAGAGGGTCTTCCAGGACTCCGCAGTGAGGTTCCATGCTGGATGGGATGGAGCGAATGCAACAACCTGAAGCAGCCAGAAACATTCACCAAGCTGTGAGGCCTCCGGTTTATCGATACCCAAAATGACAGAGCTAGGGAGTGCCTTGTTCCAGAATCGACCTTGATTCTCCCAAAACAGGACATGTAAATTCAACCAATTCTTGATTGAGTACTGACCTTTTTGACTGGCTATTATTTTCTGACACGTTTTGGGCCCTTACATCATGTAGGCACCTACCAAGAAGTCCTCAGTTCCAATCACAACATCTACGCCTTGTCTTGCCCGATTCCTGCGAGGGTCATCTGCAATATCCCGCCCGAGATTCTTCTGCCGCACCTGTCCTAGGGTTTCAATTGATGCAACACATGCAACCGACTCGGGTTTCCAACAAACCTCGACTCAGGTAAGTAAATCTTACGGCTGGTTTGAGCAGTCCAAGGTAACATAGTCACTACATGCTTGGCAACCCAAATTCATCCCAGTAAACATCAGCCCCAAAACAGGGGGTGGTGAACCAGGGGGAGCTGAAGTGAAGTCCTTCGAAGGTTTCCCGCTTTCGAGTAAACCCGCCGGCGCAGGCTTGGTGTAGTCACGGTTCTCGAGCTCTTCCAAATCAGCTTCCGAACGGTCGGCCAGGGCCTGAGGGACACGCGGACACGAACAATCGCTTCAGATCCGGGAGTCGACTGGAGTGGTTCTTCAAACTTGGTGGGAGGGATGGGGGGGACCCCGAATCCATCCACAATCCTACAGCACAAGGGAAAAAGGATTGAGGGGAGCCATGCGGAACAACACAGATAGAGGGTCTAGAACAAATGGGGAAACACACACCCCTTTTTTCAGACAAAAATAACATTGTAGCCACCTGACGTTAAACAAAAAAATCTAAAAACATCCACCTACTGTAGAATTGTCTTGCGCAATCCCGGGTTCAGATTTGTCAGACCTTTGCAATGCCAGGGGGTGTTCCTTAAACCTGCTGCTGCTGCTGCTGCTGCTGTCAACGGTCGTGAATCATATAGGGCAATCTGCAGCTTCCTGAACAACATGTCAGGTGAGTCATCCTGTGGTGTGCCATATCGGCTCATGCATAGGGGGCCCCCTTTTTGTCCTATTCAGACCGGGAGGTCTGGCTTCCAGCCATAGTGATTACATCGGCCCCTGACGGCCGTCCGACAGCTGAAACAGGTGCGCTGAGCGCCTTGCCTTCGTGGACATTGTGTTACACATTGATCCCCCGTGAGCCCAACACTGAACCCTGTGCCTCCGCTACATTGGTAGCGGAGCGCTACGAGCCTGGACCTCTTCAGTTGAGCCGATTCTCAAAGAATCTTGATCTCCTGAAGTTCCCCTGCTTCATTGCTGCTGCTTGGTCTTCAAGTTTTTGGCGGCGCTCCTTTATTTTTTGCACTTACAGGTGAGACGACCTGGACCTTGCTTTACAGTTTTCTATTCAAGCCATGGCTGAGAAGGAACATCATGTGCCCACCTGGGATGGCTCTGCTCGCTCCTGGAGACGCTACACCCGAGAAGTGTCCTGGTTCGTTCGCAGCACGCCATACCATAAACGGAGGTATTGCGCCACCAAACTGGTGAGTCGGTTGTCTGGCCCTGCGAGGCTTCTGGCTATGTCGTGGCGCAATGCGGACTTTGATCACGTCGGCGGCACTAAGCTGTACCTACAGCGTTTGGCCAGCAGTCCGCTAGTCAGGCAAAGCCTCCCGAATGCTGCAGCAATTTGCCAGCAGTATTTTGCATTTCGTCGCCAACATGGAGAAGCAATGCATGCTTTCCTTGTACGGGAAGCACTCGGCTACAGCGAATTCATCGAGGCGTTGGAACGCCTTAAGGATGATAAGATGGGCATCGAACAGCACGAGAAGGACTTCGACCTTCCCGAGGAGTGTGCCACCGACGAGGCGGAGCTGGGTGAGGATCAACCTGATCCTGATGATGATGATGATCGCGGAGACCGTGCTCGACCTTCTCCCTCACCTACACCCAGACCTGCGGCTGGTGATACCGATGGATCAGTTGGCTCCCCTCTTCGACCTCCACCGAGATCCACACCAAGTCGGCATTCTGCCGCAGTTGGTCCGGATGACCCTGGATTCTCCTTGGCAGATTCCTTTGTGCTTGGAGTACTTCGTGGGTTTCGACTGCTACAGGCGGCGGGACTAAATGCTGACGAGAAGCGTGACATCGTTTCTGCTACTCGTGGATCCTTGGAGTTTGAGGTCATCGTCAAGGCCCTCCAGACCATGTGGGACGAGCAACTTCTAGGTAGACCGGGAGTATCACATCAATCCCAACCTCGTCCTTCCTGGCACTACCAAAACATGATTGAGTCCCCCATGGAGGAGTCCGATTGGTGGCTTCAAGACTACGCCGCGGAGACCGACTGGGACTCCTGGACGGACCCTAACTATGACCAGTACTACGGGTACGGCGACATCCCTGAAGAACCTGAACCTTCTGAAGCTCAAGCCCATCAACTTCAAGGTGATGATCCTGCTGATCCTCAACTACAGGAGGCTCAAGCCGCTGAGCGCATGGCGGAAAACCTCGCCATGGAGGCCCAGCGTACATGGACTGAAGCTCAGCGAGCTACAGCTGCTCTTCGACGAGATCGTGGCTTTGGCCATCAGAAACCGATGTCTTCCTCAGACACCGGGTGCTTTCGATGCGGAGGTCAACACTTCGCTCGGGACTGCCCAGATCGGTCCCATCCGGGTGCCAAGAATCGCCCTAAGGGTCGCTTCATGCACTACGTCGACGACTTCGCGACGTACCACGACGACTACTTCATTGGCAAGGGCAAGGGCAAGAGCAAGTCGAAGGGGCGCAAGGGCAAGTTCGCCAACTGGATAGATCTTCAGGCTGCTTGGAAAGGCTCCAAAGGAACCCCCAAGGGATCGCCTATTGGCCGTCCACCTGTGAACATGTACAACACGGAGTACTATGCCCACGGCCTGGAATTCTTCAACAGTCACTCCGACCTGCCTCCCAACGGCAACACCCCGCATATTCAAGATGGTGAAGCTCTGATCGATTGTGGAGCCACCGCGTCAGCTGGCCCTGAGGAATCGGTCAAGGGACTGATCAAGTCAGTTTTGGCCTTGGACGAGGCAGCTTCCATCCAGATTGAAAAGTACATGCGGCCGTGCTTTCGCTTTGGCAATGGTAAGTGGGGTAAGGCTCTATATCGTGTCACTATCACATCTACCAGTTCAGGACAACCCCAGAGCTTCTCCGTGTATGCCCTGCCCAATCCACCGGATCTTCATCATCCCCAGTTCGACAAAACCAGCTTGGTCCCCTTACTTCTGGGCATGGATCACTTGGCAAAGGACCCCTCAGCGATGATCATTGACTTTTCCACGGGACTGGCTATGGATGCTCATGACCCTCATCCAGAACCATATCAACTTCGGACCACCAAGAAGGGCCACTATGTCTTGGACCTCGTCCATTACTTGACTAGGGGATGTGGTAATGATCAAGGCCATCCGGAAATCCGTGTACTCCATCAAGCACCCCCTGAAGTGGAAACCATCCATCAACTGGAATTCCATGCGGTTGAGTATTATGACATGACCGTGGATCATATCGTTCCTGATGAGGTACGGGTTGAACAATCTTGTGAAAGACTCCGAACTCTGCATGCCGCATCGGTTGCTCTTCGAAATGACCAACCATTTCATGACCCGTCAGCTGCCAGTTGCTCAATGTCTGGTGGTAACAGTACCCCTTGCAATTCGAGAACTCCTCAGTTCGGCGCTGATGGCTCAGCCTTCGACTCCAACCGTGACGACCGCCGAAGCCGAGGAGTTGATTGGTCACATCAAGAAGAGTACTCCGAGCCGCAGTCCGGCCCGACCTTTGGATCCGAGTCGCAAGAATGGGATCGACCTTCGAGACCCCCGTGCACAGATGGCTCAATGGCCATGCTACGGCAAGCATCTCCCTGCTCGAGCTCAGGCCAACCCACACGCTCAATGGATCGATTGTGCCGTATGTCAAGTGCGTCTGGAGTACATCCCTCGAAAAGGGTCACATGGCAACTCGGCCAGGAACGAGAACCCCGGCATGGTGCTGAGGATGCTCAACGAGCTGCAGCCCCTGATGAATGGTCACATTCCCACGGCCGACATCTGCCGGGCGATGTTCAAGAAGATCGAGGCCGAGGAAGCTCTGCACTCCTCCATCGAGGCGGTCATCGGCCAGTCCCTGACCAAGATCTCCAAGGGCTACCCGACCAAGAAGGTCTCCAAGCCTCAACCTCAAGCACAACCATCCGTCAGCAGCACACCGACAAGTTGGGACGCGGTCGGTCAGGAGCTGGAGGAGGAGTCTCAGTGAAGGCTCATCCGGTCTCTCACAACATGGCCAAGAAGGTAATGTTGATGGCCACCCTCATGCTCAACCAGCTCACCACCGAGACTGCGAAGTTTGTCATGGATGGTCGTGACGGACTCTGGGAAATTGCATGCGCACCTCACTCCTGGCTATCTGAAGCCTGTGATCGAGAAGGTCTTCAACCTCATCGAGTCAATCTTGAACAAGGATATGATCTCTATAAGCCGGCCAGCTGGCAGCGTCTTCGAGAAGAATATCGTCTGCGACGCCCTCGGCGCCTCTGGTTCTCACTACCTTGCACGAAGTGGTGTCCTTGGAATCGGTTGAACTACCGGACTCCTGAGCGTCGAGAACTTCTTGAAGAATATCGACGACGCGAACGTCGCATGCTCAAGCAGGCCAATGCCTTCATCAAGGACTGCCTCAAGGTTGACCCTGACGTCCTCATCTACTGGGAATGGCCGGTACAATGTGAGGGCTGGAAAGAATCCACCCTGCTTGACCTCAAGAGTTACATGGACACCAACTTCATCCCCTGGAATCCGTGCCGGATAGATGGCTGTGTCTATGACATGCGCACCACCACCGGTGAGTTCTTGAGGAAGAAGTGGCGCATTCAGACCAACGATGAATCCTTCTGGCATTCCTACCGCTGTAAGGTCTGCTGTGCCCAACATCCTCATGGTGAAATCGCTGGTCAGGAGACCGCCAAGACGGCCTACTACCCTTGGAAGATGGTCACTTCCTTTGCACGCTTCTGGCGCGATCAAGAAGTTGGACTTCGGCAACTTCGTTGTGCAACGGCCATCAAGAACCTTCACGACTTGGAAGAGGAGGTGGACATCTTTCCTGCTGCTCTACCTGCTGATGATCCACCACCAGCTGGTGACCCTGCCGTACCAGTGCCTGGACCTCCGGTTCTACCTGCTCCTGTTCCCCCTGCTGCTCCACCGGTAGTTCATGATGGTGATGGCCCCTCTCCAGAAGAGCTTCGCAAATGGGAAGCGAAGGTGGCTCATTATCACAAGGCTGCCGGACATCCTACGTCCCGGAATCTGGTTCGTCTACTTCGAGAATCAGGTCAACCACAATGGAAACTACGGGCAGCCGAAAACTACAAGTGCCCGGGATGTGAATCTCTTCGACCTGGTGGCACCAGCTCCGGTGCTATCCCACCAGCAGCCACACACGAGCTCTATGGACCCTGGGAAACTGTCGGTGTAGATACAGCAGAGTGGACCGTGCCTGGCCTCCTCCAGAAGGTCAAGTTTGCTGTGTTCATCGATTTCGCTACTCGCCTGCGAGTCGTGATTCCCTTGCTCGAGGCCTACGACCTCTTAGTCATGAAGACCGAGAATGCCGAACACATGATCAAAGCCTTTTCTGAAGGTTGGCCGCGCTTCTACCCGAAGCCGATCCACCTCATCACCGACAACGGCATGTCCTTCACTGCAGAGCGCTTCACAGAGTTCTGTAGATCCGTTGGCATTGATCACACCTTCCCGCCGGAGAAGGAGTCTTGGAGTCATGGTATCGTTGAACATGCCGTGCGAGACATCAAACACACTGCCAGCGCCATCCAGCTGGAGGCCTTGGATCAGGACCCTGCGGTGACCTTGGCCCTAGCCGCATCTGCCCTGAACAGTACTGAGTACACCTCTGGGTTCACCTCGCACCAATGGGCGTTTGGCCGGGACTACAACATCTCCGAGGAGGATCACCGATCCCACATGCAGCTCTCCGACCGCATGACCTACTCCAACCTGGTGGCGGCTCGTCAGAAGGCCGAGGAGGTTGCCCGAAAAACTCGCTCTCAGCGTATCTTGACCCGCCTTGGCAACTCCAAAGCACGACAACCCCTACGAACCTTCCAGCCCACTGAGCTTGTCAAGATCTGGCGAAAATCACTTCCCTTGGAACAGTTTACTGGACCTCGAGGCGGTCTTCGCAAGTCGGGCAGACCTGGTTGGATAGGACCTGGACGGGTGATCTTCATGGAAGTCTTGCCTCACCAGAAGGAGGACGATCCTAAACGTCACATTGTCTGGGTGCTGATGTCTGGCAAGCTGTTTCGCTGCAGTGTGCACTCTGTCCGGCCAGTCACTCCCACAGAGCATCTTCGCTGGGACCTCACCAACAAGGAGGACCCTACACGGTGGAAGTCGCTGTCAGACCTACTCCCCCGTAAGGAGTACCACGACATTACCGACGAGATACCGGATGCCAACGAACCTGAAGAATGTCATCTACCACCATCTCCAGATTCCAGTACTCTGGTTCCTCTCCGACGACAACACACCAAGCGCACTATGGCGCCGGAAGATTACAGGAGGGTGCATCGATCGTCTCCAATTGGGCTTGGACCGTCGCGATCCCTGTCAACTACAAGTCCAACTGGACTTTCAACGGTGCCCGATGCTCCCGATGCTCCTGAAGTTCCTGAAGCTGGCCATGAACCCTCTTCAAGTTCTGGTCTTCGTCGTGTGCCCGAAGATGGTGATGAAGATGTCAATGACTATGATCCGGACCCCAAGAAGGCTCGCACCATCGACTACGATATCAAGTGGGTTCAGATGCTTGAGTCCGAGGCTCAACAAGAAGTCAACAGCCTCGACCTGTACTCTGCACTCCAGGAAGTCGAGGATTGCCTCTCCATCACTTTCGATGTGACATTGGACTCCAACAAGCAGCGCAAGAGCCTGGAGTACAACCCCACAGCCTTCCTGGTGAAAAAGATGAACTCCTCCGAGGTGCAGTTGCAGAAGCTCACACCTTCACTTCGTGGACTCTTCGAGAGAGCCAAGACCAAGGAGGTGAACTCCTTCCTGAAGAATGAGGCTGTCCGTAAATGCCTGGACGATGCAGAGATTTCTCGTGCCTACTCCACGAACCGCATCCTCAAGGCGAGATGGGTTCTGACCTGGAAATCTGTACCTCCTGAAGATCGACAAGAAGCTCTCCTGGACTCCAAGAATAACCCGGACACGGTTCACACTCCTGATGGTAGCCGGAAGGCCAAGGCACGCATTGTGCTGCTTGGTTTTCAACATCCGAGTCTTCTGGACCCGACCTTCAAGACTGCTGCCCCAGTCCAATCAATGATTGGTCGCAACCTGCTGTACTTGATGGCTGCTACGCATCAATGGCCCATTGAAGGACTGGATCTGGCGACAGCGTTCCTGCAGACGCAACCAACGGAAGCGGATGCTGAAATCTGGACTTCAGGAGTGGAAGAGCTCAGGTCAGCCTTGCATGTGGGAAAGGAGGGCATAATGCGAATTCTTCGCAATGTGTATGGCTCGACTACAGCTCCACGTGGTCTCTGGTTGGACCTTCACAAGACCCTGGTCAAACTCGGTGCCGTGCCACTCCTTGGTGAGCGCTGTCTTTGGGCTTGGTTTTCCAAGAGTGAAAAGGACAGCACTGGTCAATTTCCCCGTCTTCTCGGAGCCATGGGAGGTCACGTAGATGATTTTCATCGAGTTGGTGATCGTGGCTCTGCTGAATGGTTGGACATCTGCGATGCCATCAACAAAGCCTACACCTGGGGCACGACCAAGACTGGTACGTACCGCCATGCCGGCACCGATGTCACCACCGTTGATCTCAAGAACGGCAAGTTCATGATAACAGTCAACCAAGACTTCTACGTAGAGTCCCTGATGGATGTAGCGATTCCTGCAGACCGTCTACGGCAAGATGGGCCCCTCACTGTCTCTGAGGTGAATGCATGCCGCACTGCCTTGGGAGCTCTCCAGTGGCTCGCTATTCAGAGTCAACCCTTGCTGTGCTCGAGGTGCAATCTACTACTCACTGAAGTGGTCACCGGTGGCACTCTGGAGACTGCTCGTGAAATTCAACACATGGTCGGCGAGGTGAGACGATGTCCCACACAGCTGCGGTTCTTCCCGCTGGAGGGTGTCTCCAAATGGACAGATGTGGTCTTCATCTCGATGGGAGATCAGGCACATTCTAATCGACCTCAAGGTGATTCCACTGGCGGTCTGGTGACTCTTGCTGCTGGACCATCATGTCTTGCCGGGAATGTGTCCCCTATGTGTTTGCTCAGCTGGCGTACTTGGAAGCTTCGTCGCAAGGCCATTGGGAGTAATGATGCCGAAGTACAAAGCATCCTGGAAGCTGAGGATCAGAACTTCCGGGTTCGGCTTCTTTGGAGTGAGCTACATGGTGCAGGTCAGCATCGAGCTCCTCTTCGAGAAGATCTCATCAGCCAGGCCGAGAATCAAGTCGTCCTGGTCAAGGGTGTCCTGTGCACGGACTCTCGGGGTGGCTACGACGCTGTTGAGCGCAATGAGTCACCGTTGCTTGGGCTGTCAAACCTTCGATCAGCCTTGCAGGCTTTTCAGTTGCGTGACAATCTTCGGAGAGTTCATTGTGAACTTCGATGGCTGGCTTCCGACTATGACCTCGCGGACGCCATGACCAAGAAGCGTTCAGAGAGCCGTTCGGGGCTAGAACGTTTTCTGCAGACCTGGCGATGGTGCATAGCCTTCGATCCCAATTTCGTGTCGGCAAAGCGAAACAAGAAGGCTGGCAAATCCGCCTTGAGTCGCATGCAGGACTCTCTCGGCGATGACAGCAACGAGAATGCACTACAACCTGGACCTCATGGAGGGCGGAATCAGTTCGCAATCAGCGCCTGTGGCCCCCATTATACGGATGATCACCTGAGTCCTTTTTTCCCTGGTGCAGCTTCCTGAACAACATGTCAGGTGAGTCATCCTGTGGTGTGCCATATCGGCTCATGCATAGGGGGCCCCCTTTTTGTCCTATTCAGACCGGGAGGTCTGGCTTCCAGCCATAGTGATTACATCGGCCCCTGACGGCCGTCCGACAGCTGAAACAGGTGCGCTGAGCGCCTTGCCTTCGTGGACATTGTGTTACACATTGATCCCCCGTGAGCCCAACACTGAACCCTGTGCCTCCGCTACACAATCCTCAGATGCCCAGTGGCTATGAGAAGTAATAGGCATTCTTTTTTGGTTGGTTGAGTTTAAAGGGGAACCCTTCCAGAAAAAAGGGGAATCATATTTATAGGTGCCATCATGGAGCTATCTGGGTTGTTAAGGGGGACACCCGACCCCCATCCGCAATCCGTGCGACACCAATACAGCAGGGAACATCACTTCCGTCTCGCACAAGGACTAAAGGGTTAATTTTGAACAACCCAGGCTATGACTCCCTGTGAATACCGCCTGGCTGATGCACTTGTTGAGGGCATCGTTCAGGAGCTTCATGTTCCTTGCCATCTTTTGCTCGCTCGCTCTCTCTCGCACTCTCTCGTTCTCTCTCGCTCTCTCTCTCTCTCTATCTCTCTCTCTCTCTCTGTCTGTCTGACTGTCTGTCTGTCTGCCTGTCTGTCTTGCTGTTTGTTTATCTCTCACTTCTCTTTTCTACCTCAGCTTCTGCGCCAACACAACTAACATATTGGATGCTGGTCCTTGTTTAGGTAATAAGGCACCCGACTGCCAAGCCTAGTTAAACTCGATAGGAGTCCATATTTCCCGCTCAGATGAAACCAACACCGCGTCAGAAAATATCTGGCAGCCTTTTCCCAGGTACCGGATAGAAACGTGGGGCATGGTACCCAAAGGGACCTGTTTGCAAAATGTTGGGCGTTGACCCATTTTTACCTTTCGCTCGGAGCAACCCCGCCCTCAAGCAAGCAGTCCGACTGAAGGCGCAGGAGCTCAACTCACCTTGCCCTTGTCACACCTGTACTCTCCAGGGTTCTGGGAAAATGACTATCTGGCTACGGGTCAAAATCCTATACCCCCAGTCAGCATCCCAATCCCCACTAGACTAAAATGGGTGCACCTACCTTTGGACCCCATTGGTTTTGAGCAAGGGAAGCCCGAAATAAGGAACTGCGGATAACTGCGGATTCAGACCACTTTTGGAGGGAACACCCTAGTGGGATGGGTTTATTAATCCTGGGTCAACATTAGGCATCAGTAGGGGACCCCAATTGGTAAGGGAAGCCCCCAGCCAACCTCAGTAACTGCCCAGATGGCAGTCAAGACCTCACTGCAAACCAGCGTCTCCGTGAACTCCCTCTGGCGCTCGACGAGCAAGTCCTTGAGTGAGGGGACGCCTACCCCATTGACCAGGGTTCAAATACCATGTCTTTACAGAACTCCTTCCAGGTCCTCCAGTAGAGAGGGTACCCGTTTTTTCTGTAGTCTATTTTAGTAGGGGAACCCTCCACCAAAAAAGGGTAAAAGGGCACTACTGGGGGACCTAGCCTTGTACCTCCTTAACTCTTTTAAGAGCAAACTTGCACCAGCTCCGTAACGGCCCCCTCCATCCGCCAGCTAGCATCGGCGGCTAAACCAGGGGTTTCCTCATCTACATCATCGAACCCTGCTGGCTCTAAAAAACAAAGTCCGCTGGAGCACCAAACATCCTGTTCAGGGAGTTGAACAATCAAACTAGCAGGGATATGGAGGAGACGGGGATACAAGAGGTTTCCCTTGGAACCATTTACCGGCAAACAAAGGTTACGCGCTTGTCAGGAGAACCCTCCCGAATCCCTGCTTCCCCTGTATCTCTGCTTATTGGCTTCTCTGAGGGAAGGACATGGCCACTGGACAAAACGGTTCTCCCTGCAACCGTCACGGGAAGCCAACACGTCATGACACCTGGAAGCCAAACCGCCGCGAAATGGCGAGGTTTGGCATTAGGCCCTAAATCATCGGGCTCGAACTTTGGTCATCCCCACTTTCATACCTTTTGGGCCTGGGCGGCTGAAATTAGATAAATGGATTCCCTAAAATTCAACCCCCCAGTAAAAAAAGGCTGGCCCCAAATGACAATCCTGGGGTAAAGAATGGTTCTTCTGAACCCATCGAAACCCACTGGAGCTCTTTCGAACTCAGGCCCCCGCCATGAGGGGAAACTTCCAGTACTGAAGAGGCCTCCCGGTTCCCAGATGGAGGTTTGTTGAGGCTTCACTGGTATGCTAAAGCCTTGTGCCCCCTACTACAAAACCAACAAACTTTCCAAGAACAGTGAAGGAGGGTTGAGTCATAAAAACAACCGCTGCACTGCGAATGCCCCCAAAACATTCCGAGGGCTTCCAGAGGGGCCGTGTCTAGAGTCTTTATTACACGGCATATCCTTTCCTTTATCTTCCTTGTCAACTATTTTATAAGAGAAATATTTTACAGTTTAAATAGTTGACATGAAGAAGATAAGAAAGGAATAGGAAAGGAATGGGAAAGAGGATTAGCAAAGGAAAATATCCTCCTCTTTCCATCTCATTCCTTTTCCCTTTCCCACTCCTCTCTTCCACTTTGGTGGACTGTTCGCAAGCTTTTTCTCGACAGTTTCACCAGTGGCAAGCAGACTCTGACAAGCAAGTGCTCGACTGACCATGCGAAGTCAATTGTTCTGTCCACGAACCGTGGAGCAACGCTTCCCTCGATGTGCTGCGGGCAATTGTTGTCTATTTAAGGCCCCCCTTTTGCGGGGTTCCATCCTGGCTTTGGCCTCCAAAACTGGGCAAGCAAGCATCAGTACTGATGTCATGCACCGACCTCAATTGAGGAATCCCTCTGGCAACTCTTGCGGGGTTGATTAATCCGTCGACGTGAAACTGTTCCGGTTGCTGTTGAACAGATTCGACAACTCAATCCACCAGCGAAGTGTCCAACCCAAGCACCCACGGTCAACATTAGCGCTCCCCGTTTGCTTTGGACCGATTCCACTTGCCTAGAATTAACACTCCAGGGTCCGCACGTCTGGGCTCGATGCTCCACCTCTCGCAGCGACCTCGGGTGGCGCTTAACCATACGCCGTGGTGCAAATGGCCCCCCAAACGCGGGAAAATGGGGATCCTTGCGTTTTGGATCTGGAATTTATATGAAGGGAACCTACCCCCCCCCCCCCCCGCAAAAAGCAGAAGAAAGGACACCAATGGAGGTCTGGGTGGCTTACTTCTTACTTCTACTTGGGCACTTGGAACTGTTCAAAGGACAGGCAAAACGCAAAACACCGGTTCGACATCATGGTAGGGAAATGGCCCTTCATGTCTTGCAGCTGTCAGGACAGCTGGGACTTAGGGGCTTCATGGAATCACGGAGGAGTGGTTTGTAACACCCAAAGTGGAATTACCAACATCTTCCCGAATCGTACCAAGAACAAACTGGCAGCTGCTAGCCCTTCTAATTTGCAGGGTATGACCGCCCGGCGAAAGGGTTGATGCCTATCGAGTTGGGATAAGCAAACCTCTGGGCGCTTCATGGGCGAGCTCGAAACCGACAACAATTCTCGTGTGCGCAGTTCCTGAGCAACATCAAGTTGAAGCAATACCCCGGAACAAAGACAAAGTTTTCCACATGCAAAGCAAGTGGGCTCTTTCTTGGTGGTTTCCCATTTCAGGGAACTCAAGAATCAATGTAGAATGCCCCCAGGCGGAAAACTGTTTGGTGGTTGACCATTTTTCACTTCCTCAAAGGACCTGGGAAAAACAGAAACAACCTTAGACCTTTGCTCAAAGTGGACCAACATGGGAAACCAAAAGGTCAAACAGTCGATTGGCTTTGAGCAACGGAGTCTTTAGCCATGAATCCACCAAACAAAACGGGAATTAGAGCACTGAACGGCTTCAGATTTGAGGGGTAGCTTCCCTGCACCCGATCTTCCAGGTGAAAGCTGGTGTGGTTGTAAAGAACGGGTAACCAACCCGTAGGAACTATGTGAAAGGGATCGGGGATGGCCTTTGTTGCATTTGAGTTTCAGCTACCCCCCTGCAGAATAACATGCAAACCAAAAGGGGCCGTCCCTAAAAGGAGAGTCCTTTGAAAATAGATGGGTGTGGGGTTCCATGTTCGCCTGCTGAAGGGTACTCTGAACTTCTTCAGCTCCGGAAACTGCTCCTTCCCCATTTTGCGGTGGAAGCGGCGCTCACATTACACGCACGACGCATACCCAAGTTCCTTGACCAAACGTCACACACACACACACACAAGAACGGTCATTGTGAAAACATACATCGGAACCTAAATATGTCCATTCTTCAACCGTGACAACAACAGTAAGCAGCCTCGTGGCGTTCCCCTTTCGAGGGGTGGCCAGCGGGTGATTTAAACAAAACTCTCTCATAGAACTTGGGGTAAGGTCCCAATTTCCTCGGACCTTTCAGGTATCCAGGAAATTCCATAGCACCAGGTACCACGGACCTCACTGAGCTTCCGGAAAATGTTCCTCGCCTGAAAGTAGGGGCTGACCTCCTGCAGCAAATTCCGTTGGACTTTTTGAGAAGATTTGGCCCAGCCAAGAAAGCCAATCAATTCCTCCAGTGGTTCGGGAGTTTACCCCAGGCCCCAATTGGCCGACGGCCTGGCCAAACCATCCAAGTACGGAGTGCAGGAGTGCGAAGATCCCTTCCCCACTCTTTTCAACCATCCTTCTTTTCAAGTCCTGGGCTCTGACTACGCTACTCGAGCTCGGTTTCCTCTGGCGCCCGTGCTGGATGGCAGCCTTGACCACAGGGCCTGGGCCGAAATCCCTGTGAAGAACCGTCCTCCGTGTATTTGGCTATACCACAAAGCACACATCTGTGAGGAATTGTTCTTTGCTGGGTGCTTGGCCCCTACATACACTACTCAGGTGGCTACTGGTAGTTTTGACCAAGCCTCATGTGAAACAGGCACACCGTGGCGCAACTTTCATGCTCTTTGTGCCGCAGTGATCGGTCAAGTGGGGTCGATGCAGCTGTCAATTCATGGCACTGCCCGCTTACAGCACCAAGCTTTCTAATCCAGGGTTCATGTTGCTTGTGGTCACGGAGCACTCACTCCGCTGCAAAGTTGACGTGAGCACACCCACGCGATGTTTGCGTGTTCCATGCCCTCTGCCCCAAGTGGTCTCAAGATCAAACTCGACTCCGAGGCGGTGGCTCTCACCCTCAACGGAGCCAAACTCATAATTGAAGACCGACCTCATTGGGCCGGATGGGGTCCAAGCCCACGCAGTGGGAAACATGGTCACCTTGGGATCTTCGGGATTCATTTGATGCTTGTCAATTTGTCTGAGGTGACCATCGACATCCCCACGTTGAGGAGGAGAGGGTCCCCAATTCCATTTTTCGAGTCTGTGGGTACTGGTATCTGGTTCCTGAAAATGATTCATTGTCAGCATTTTCTGAACTTGTGGGGAACGGGGTTCGGATCCCCATTCCATTTTTCGAGCTTCCCCGCACACAGAAAAGAGTTCTAAAACAAACATCCTGGGGAACCCCCTTCCCACCTATTCTATATTCAGGTGAAGGTACCACCCCCATCACTGATGGCATGCCATTGGCAAGATTGTGAAGGGGAGAAAAGCAAGCGATAAAGGACACAATGTACGGAAGCATGCCAACCAACAAGCAAACAACCAGACTGGTAAACCAGGAAGAGTCCTGAAAGAGTAGAGTACCAAACAGGGGAAAGAACGGGTGAAATCCACCAAACTTCAGTGTTTCGCTGGATAAAAGCCTCAACTCAACAGTTCATTAAATCCTCTCTGAAAGCATACTCATCCCCTTACCTTTGTGGAGAGATATCAAATAAATGCTATGTACTAGCGGGAATGCTTTACCATTCTGAATGTCAGCGCCCCGCAAGTGGCCGACACACAAAGACAAGTTCCAGTTCGACCGCCGGCCGGGTGAAACACCTGCACAACTTACAAAATGCCATCAACTTGAATTCAGGAATCAACGGCAAGAAACTTCTCTGCATGTCCAATAATTGGTGCGTCTGCACGAACTGAACAAAAATACTTGTTTGTTGTTTTGCTCAGGGTGCAGAATTAATGTCCAATTGTTTATTTCGTTTGAGCCAACACGCCATGTGTTAGCAGTTTGCCGAGTAAATCCCAGGCATTTGTGGCAAGTCGTGCCGTTGCAGGGTTGGTTGAGGTTTGGTTTAGGGTTGGCTAAAGCTTGCTTAGGGTTGGTTTATGGTGGCTAAGGTTTGCTCGGTTGGCTTAAGATGGATTTGGGATTGTTTACGATGGGTTTAATGTTTTTGTTGTTTTTTCCGATGGGGCGGGAGGGGCGCAGCCCCTCCCCCATCATAACAACAAGCACACCAATGAAACGACTAGGTTTAGGCGTGGTTTAGGGTTTGTGGGTGGGCTTGGTTTAGAGTGGGGTGTGGGTTTCGGGACCCTCTCAGACTGGCTTAGGGCTGATTAGGGGTCGAAAAAGGCTTGTGTAGGTTGGCTGTAGCTTCGTGGCGTGGAATCCAAAAAAAGCGGGGGGGAACCGGAAAAGCAACCAAAATACATTGCCCTCGTTTCGTGAACAAAAAAGAAGGAAAACAAATAAACAGAAAAAAACAGAGAAAAAAAGAAGAAGAAAAAACGGGGTATCAGATGTGCCCGGGGCCAAGTCCCTTTCCCGTGATCTCTTTGCTGTTGACCCCTCTTTGTGGCTTCAATGCGGGACACCAACTTGATTTCAACCAAAAAGTTGTTACAGTCTACAGGTCCGCTGATCCAACCCAATGCGCAAAACTTGATCTCAACCAAAAAGGTTCAAGATGTCCAAAGATCCGTTACCCAAAAGCAATCATTTCTGGAACCCATCCAGATCTCGCCCAAATATTTTCCGGAGGAATGCGCCCAAAACGGCCGGACCCTCCGGTCCCTGGCTTGCCGATGATGTCCAGCGCCACGGAGCCGAAGCGCTCCTCCATGTCCACCGCCTTCCCTGGAGCCCCGGAATTCACCCAGGTGGCAAGTGACCCGTGGCGAAGATTCAAACACCACCCCCAAACTCGCCCAAAAAGGGGGAGGTCGCCCCACATGGCCCATAAGATTGAGCCCATCACCCATTTTTGCGGGATACTTTTGAGGGTCCAGGCACCCTTGTTGGTTGCATGATGCACGTGTTTTTTTCTCTGACGAACTAAATTCAGAGGGTGCCACTGCGAATGTCGCATCCCAACAAAGTAGCTTGCCCTGGTTGGATGAAAACATAGGCGAAATTCCGACCGCGAGCAAGGCAAATTAGCGGAAAGCCTTCACTGAGAAAAACTTGCGCTTCCTGCGCATGATTTAGTCTTCCGGGGCCAACATTTTTGGCCAGGGGTCTGAAAAGATGCACCAGTCCCTGGCGTTCTCCACAACGGCTGGCTTAGCGAACTTGCTTGGTGGCCAAAACCGGGCTTGTCGAAGGTGCCAAAGAATACCTCTTTTTGGACACCTTTCCAAGACGTGGAGTCCTGGCGACTGGCGACGCTCACTCTTTGGGGCAGGCCTTTGGGCGTGACTGAGCAGCGACTAACTTTGAAAGAGCAAAGGGTCAAATTACCGCCTAAGCCCATTTGGAAGGCCCTCAAAGCACCTTCATAAGTGATGTCGCGCACAAAATTCACTCGATTCGCTGCAACCTGTTCCCCAACATTTGCATCCCCAAATACACGTTTCACAAGGGGACTCTCTAATTCAGCTGCTAACAATCAAAACCTGGTTCCACCCAGACAACATGTAGGGAATCAAAAGGGGCGCACCGATGTCCAGGACTGCCCCCTCACTACCCCATTGCGGGTTGCCCCGGTCGACCTGCGGCTGCTGCCGCGCGGAGCGACTTCACCAAGAGCTGGCCCGCCCGGCCGAACTCGGAGACCTGCGACGGCATATGGCACGTCATGGCACGTCCCACGATGGTGCTCGGCAGAGGGAATGAACCGGAACGGGGGCTCCCTTGAAGGAAGCCACGGGGATGGTTCATGGGGTTCATTCCCTCATTCCGATTCCCTATGGCACCAGCAAGCGAGAAGGCGAGCCGGGTTGCCCTAGCCAATGCCACGAAGCATAGGCTCCTTGAGGCACTTCCGGCAGGTTGAACGGTTGGTTGCTTTGGGCAAGCTGAGCACAAAGCCATTTGGAGCTGTGCTTCGGCATTGCATATCACTCACCCACATCCTCACTTTCGGGGCTCCCTCAAGCTTGCCCTTGAAACATCCCCACCAAGAAACACTCGCCTTTCATGGGCCAAGAAGGCGCTGGTTCAAACCACCAAGGGAAATGCAGGGACCCCTGGCTTTAGCACCCGTCCTTTCAATAGATTCACACAGGATCCCAAAAATGCGCAGGTGCAGGGCTGTCCCAGATCCCTAAATCAGGAAACCAGCCATCAGGAACACTCATCAGGAACAGGGTTTGCCACGAAAGGGCCCTTCCACCCCACAGTCGGGTGTCCACGTGCAGAGGTTGCGCGACCGGCTTTTTGCCAAGCTGAAATTCTGAATGGCCATCCTGTAAGGTTTCGATGCTGGTTCTAAAGTGCCGAGCCCAGGTCCCTCGTTTGCAGAGACCTCTCCTTTTTGAGGATCGCTTTTTTGGGTTCCATGTGAATCTGCCGCCACCTTTTGGAGCCTCGACTACGGGAAACTGCGCTTTCGCCCGGGCGACAGTTGTTCGCCTGGAAGTTGAGCCATTTCTGGTGGAAGCCAGGCCTCACGCCGCTGGGATTTGGGCAGGGAGGGAAACATGTGTCACGCACCTACGAAGTCCTCCGTTTTGCTCCTCTTTCAACATGGCTACGGTCTTGTTTGGCTTGACCAACTCTGTTTCGGAAAGAAGTCCCAGTTCCAGTTGGGCTTGTCTCCAAATAAGTTTGGCAACCCAAATAAAGGTGCCAAAGGACTCGTCCATTGCTCGCCACGTGGGATATGAGTGGCAGAAAAGGGTTGAACTGCATTGTGGGACTATTTCGGGGAATCCTCTGTAGTGACAGATTCCCTTTGAAACTAACAGGAGAAATTAAATATTAATAACAATAATAACAAAAAATATTGAGCAAATGGAATCTTGAGCAAATGGAAGTCTACAAGGGTGGCTTTCATTTACAACTGAAACAAAACGCTGCCCCTATCCCCTGACAAGTTACTTGTTGCCTTGCGCGAAAGGTCCCTTGCCCCCCCCCCGGAGATTTGTGTCCCTGTGCTCGCTTGCCAAAATACCTTGAACCAAAAGCTTCCCTCTTGGCTTCTTTTGGGCACAAGAAGCGGAGCAAGGGACCGCTTCTAGGGGTTAAAAGGTCAGCTTCGGGCGAGTGTTTTGTTCCTCTGCCTTGGTTTCCCCCTTCTGCACCGGCGACTTCGCGCCTTCGACTCCTTCCCTTGAAAGTGGGGTAGGCCATGTTGTCGTGGCTTCGCCCTCGTTTGAGGGACCCGTGAAACAGTTTTCCTGCAAGATCCTTCCAAAGGCCCATACATGCATGAGAGGGAGGACTGAGAGACAGAGACAGAGAGACACAGACAAGAAAGATGAAGAGAACGAGAGGAATAGAGATAGAAAGAAAAAGAGAAGAGAGCGAGGCATGTCCACAGAAAGCTTCTCTCAGGAAGGCCCAGCCTATGCTTCTCAAACGACAATGAGTTCACTTGGAAAATCACTGTTCATGACTAACTGCTAGGTTGACCTCTCCAACAAGGAAAATACAGACATTTGCACCTCAGCATGGCTCAAATCCTGGGGTTTCCCTTTGTGAAGGAGATTGGCTAACCGTGGAGCCTCAAGCTTAAATTGAAGCAAGCGGCGTGATTGCCAGTAGACATGTTTTTTCTCGAAAACAAAGCCACTAGTCGCCCTAGCCCAGTTGCCCAGCGACCTTGGTAAAATGGACCCCTTCCTGACCTCACTTCAGCAGGCCACGTGGCCTTCCTCGCGTTGATTCAATACTTGTGTTAGTCAGCCGGCACAGCCAGAAGCTCCCTTCCCCCCCGCCACGTTCTTCCAAACTGTGAAAGGGAGACTGCAGAGGTAACAGCTCTATGACAGGCAGCCAAGAGACTGGTAGTGCAGGTAGGGGCCCAGTGCCTTCAATCTGCCATATTGCGCACTACCCTCCCAAAAAGGGGGGGGATGGCAGACGGTTCCATGATTGCAAGGGTCGTTCTCCGAAAAACCTGGACGCCGCGTTTCGACTCTGGGCTCCTGGCACGATGGCTCGCCGCCGCACGCGCCAGGTCTCAAAGTCCGCGGGGATCAAACCTCCGCTTGCTCTTTGAAGCGCTGGTGAAGCTTGCCAGCCAAGATACTGTGGATGGACGGAATCCTGCTTTGAAACCACGGGAAACCATTGTTTGTTGGTATTGACAGGGGAAGCATCACCCTCGGGTTTCTTAGGTGATGCAGGAGTTCGTCCATCCACAGTATGTTTCGGGCCGGGTCTGGATCTAATTCGGGACCTTGTGTTTGTTTGAAGGTGCTTGCTGCTTTCGCTCGCGGTGATAAAACGCTTGTTACAGCATTGTCAAGCAAAATGCACCTGCGCTGTCAACCTCCCCGGCATTGGTTTCAACATCCTCAGCCTACACCCACCTCTACAAACCCGAAACCAACCGAACCCGCTTTAACCACCCCCGCAACCCCAGCTTTCGGATGCCGCACCCCCCGGCCTTTTGACAAAAGGCCAAGAAGGCCAAGTAACTCCAAAAAACCGGCCCTCAAATGCCACGCAAGCCCACCATAGGGGCTGATTGGAAGCGAGGCTCGACGCCAACGTCCCAATCCCGGCGTCGGGCGCGCGGACATCGCCATCGCCGCAATCGCCGAGGGCCGTGCCTTTGCCCATGACATCTTCCAACACTTCGCCCAGGACCTGATCCGACGTGTCAACCCGGCGGGTTGGGAGGGCGAGGCCCCAAAACGGACCTGAAAACTGCTTAGGTGGTGGTTGGGCCCAGAAGGCATTATCCCATTCTTGTTGGTATCCAATTTGGAAAGCTCCAACAAACCTTGCTGCTAGTAGGCTACATTCGCCACCTGAGCCCCTCTACAGTCAAAGCCATCTGGTCAAAAGCTTGCCGCAAGAAGTCATGTCCTATTGAAGGTGAGTCGCTAGATTGGCCAACTACCTGCGTCGCAAAATTGTCACAACGTTGTTGGGGTCTGCTCTGCGTTGGTCTCACTTCTCTGATCTACGCGCAGTCAGTTCATAGAAAGTTAGTAATTACCTTGGCCAATGCATATTCTGAGTAGCTCCCCGTTGGAGTCCTCAAACGGAGAGTCTTCCTAGGGCTGGCGGCTATAGTTGTCCTCTTCTTTCACCCTAGCTACGCCCCCCCCCCTTCAGGACATCCCATAATTCCAAACACGTCAAGCATTTGACCTCCGAATCAATGCCAGGGCCCACAAAGCAAACCACGCCCACACGGACCCCTGATCCCGCTCGAGCAGCTTTTGATCTCTTGGCTCCTTGCCCCCTTGTCATAGTTGAAGACGTTCTCCCGCAGGATGTGTTTCAAAATCTGCGGGTCTGACACCACCTGGCACAATCTGTGGGGAAGTTTTGGTTGAACCCCTGCGAACATACTCATAACCCAGGTTGTTTCGGGCTGAAAAAGCTGCGCACATGCCCTTGGATTACCATCCTTTCTGCGGAGGTTGAGAGACAGAAACAGTGGCGGACAGAAAGACATGGCCTGCCAGCAAGCAGCAACAAGTTGTTGCATTCCACTCAATGCTGGTCACAAGGCCTTTCGGGCCGGCTGCCCCTGGCAAACAAAACAAAAAACACGGGAGGTCGTGGGATTCCATTGCAGTACGTGCAAGTATCCCCCTCAGTCACGTGGACTTCCGGGAATGAGCCATGGTTTCACAAGGTTGCTCTTCCGCAATGAGGAAATCTTACTGCAGTGGCCCCTTGCCCCTTGTCACCACAAGGACCTGGGGTGGCACCGATCTGCCTCCGATCCCCTCCGACTCAGCGCAATCGCGCGGCGGGCGCACCATGAAGCTCTTGGGCCCGAAGCAAAGCTTGTACACCTCACATGCCGAAGCCCAGATGGCAGGAACATTGCCAGATAGCATATCTTGGTTGCTGTAACGACCCCCCCTGCAAAAAGTTTGACTCTTGGGGGGCTTAGTGGAAAACCACTTGATTTCCCAAAAAGTTAAAGCCTAAAGATCCAACCCAATAGCAGTCAAGATATCGACATGCAAAAACCTGCCTCAGCTTTTACCCGACCAAACATGGTCCTGGTTGGATTCTGGCCCGCGTTTAGCTGGCGAACCTTGAAATGCAAAGCGAGGTCAGAAGATGTCCCACCTTCCCACCGGCAGGTTGTGTTCTTCTTACTTATCTATAGGACATGCATATTGAACAATCGGAATGGGGGAGAAAACGTCATACCCCAATGGCCCGGGAAACCCACGACCAAGACGCGTCCTACGGGCACTTAGTCCCATCAACAACTCGAAGGCCCAAAAGGCTTGAGAATGCAGGGAAAGGAAAAGGCTTGTTGGTTTCTCAAAAACGAGCTGGGCCTATAGCACAGCCAAGCCAGAACAAGATGGAATCCACTGAAGGGCCCATTCGCTCCGCGACATCAAGTGACAAATCGGACGATCCTGGGAAAAGGGGGATGAGCTTTATACTCTCTTTGTTGGGCCTGGGTTGGCGTAAGAATGAGTAAGCATCCATCATCATCTTCCGATGGACTGAACTTCTATTCTCAAATGGGGCTCTCTCTGTCAGGTTCCATGTCATGTGGGAGGTTTCTTTCAGCCTGACGTAGGAAATCCTGCGGTCTACCCAAAGAGGCCAGTGACCGAAAAGGGCAGAGATGATCTTGCAAATCACGATAACTCATAAACTGGAAGTACCAAATCTGGAAGTAAGGAAGAGATCTTCATCATGGGTTCTCGTTTCAGCCCCGGTAGGCTCGTAATTTCCTCGTTCCCACCCGACTCTGAGCTGCCCGGCGTCTCCAAAGCCCTCCTGGTACTTCTGCAGACCCAGGTACCTCAGATCGAGTTCTCGCAGCGCTTGCAGCACGCGAACTAAAGGGGTTCCAAGCATAGATGGGCTCGTGTTTTGTTGTTTTTGTTTTTTGAGTTGGTACCCCTTTTTGGCTGGTTTTCAAGGGAAACCAAAAGGAAAGCCACCAAAAGTTGTTGTGGGTTCCCCCAAAAAGAGACACATCCACATCAAGAACCCGACTGCGTTGCAAAGAGATCCTCTAACCAACTGGCAACGTTGATGATTTAGCTTGTCTGACTCCAAAAGCTCGCGGTTGCAGGCTGAAACCAGCCCAAACGACGCTTGCATCCCTGGGCGGGAGGGACACCGTGGGATGCAAGGGACGCCGAGTAAGCGTCCAAAAGTGTTCCACTCGAGATCTATTCAAAGATAAGTGCCCAAAAGCGGAATTAACTAGGTCTTCCAGAGATGAGGTGATCCAAAACAGAGAAACCAGTGACACTTTGTGACACGGTCTGGATGTCTCAATTGTCGACCCCCAGCTTCCGCTGGTGGAGTCGCCCAAGGCGACTAGTGCAGTCGACTGAGGCCCTGCAGAAATTCGGCGGCGAAAGGCCCGTGGGATGAAAGGATAGCCCGCATGACGTGCTGCGTTCCAAGACAAAGAGCCTGGAAACCATTGTAAGGGAGCCAATGTGAAATCAACTGCTTAGGTTCATTCCTGGTTTGGGCGCATCTCCAAATAGCAACCATGTTTGGTTGGCGTCACCAATCACCAGACCCAATTGGCTTTACCAAAAGGTGAGGGACCCGCACGCCTGTCTTCAAACTCTCCTGCAGGTTAACATGCATTCCCTTTGGAGAACCCAAAGAACCCCCATTTCGGGCTGGAAGTAATTGACCTGCCGTGCAGTGATGCAAGCTGAAGCTTGGGTTTGCGGAGCCCAATTGGCTGAGATTTGCGAAGGAATGGAACGAAATGTCCGCCCTTGCAACATCTTGTGCATTGAATTAATTTGGGGCATCCCCATCGTTTTGGAAAAACAAAAACAGCAAACAAACCGTTTTTGTCCGGGTACATGGGTACTGCCCCTCTCGCATCTCTTGGCTCCCTGCATCGTACCATCGGTCCTCAGGAGCCAAAAGCCGGGAGCCAAAAGCACGGGTGCGGCATTTTCAGGATGTGAAGCTTCATGTGGGGCGCCGGACTGCCAACGTACCCAGTCACAACAGGAAACAACATGCACGGCACCTCTTCCGTGTCCGTTGGGTTTCGGGGCGATGCCGGGGGAACGTTGAATTCTCTGACGGTACCTGGGCGCAACTTCAGGGTGTTGCTACGTGACTTGCAGATGTTGCCCCAGCCATGGCAATACATAACATACGCACGTACCATTGCATTTCATTACCTTACACCATATTCCCTGACTTTACCTAACTTTACCTTACATTGCAAATACATTACAATACATTTCTTCCATTTGCTTAAGCACCCTGGCAAAAAAAAAAAAAAAAAAAAAAAACACCATTTCCAGTAGTGAAAATTATTACAATTAAAGCCAACAGGGGAAAAATCGAAAATCTTCATTTCAGCAAATGCAAGATTTCATAACACCAGCTAGGGCGTCCAGTAGAGAGGTCAGAATCAGGGTACCAACTTTTTTCTGTAGTCTATTTTTGTAGCAAAACCCTCCCCCACAAAAAGAAACGGTGAGAAAGGGCGCTTAGCTGGGGGACCTAGCCAACCACCATACCATTGAGGCAATTCCCATTCACGCCAACCAGAAAAAAAGTCGATCACTCACATATTTGTTTCAGCAAATGGGAGAGAATTCGTTTCAGCCAAGACCTGGGCATCTAGCTGGACCTCGCAAGCTGGACCTCGCAGAGGCCTCGTGGGCCTGAGGGCCTGGCAGGCCGGCGCTGGCCAGATCCCCGGTGGCCAGCGGCGCCCCATCCTACGCGCCGAAAGCGTCGGCCGCGGAAGTTTTTGGGGCCTGGTGGTCGGGACCTCTTGGGACCTCAAAGCGGAGATTCTAGCAGTTGACTCCTTGTCCAGTCTTTTGAAGAACCGGATCTGTTTCCAACCTGGGTTTTTGGTTGCCTGAAAAGATTCGGATCCCTGGAAAGAATGGGGACCCCTAGGAAGCTGGTCACCTCTTGGGACCTCCACAAGTGGACATGGAAAAACCTACCCCTTTGGGGACCTGCACATTGTTCTCTAAAACAGCTATTCTCACTTCCCGAGTGGGCTGCCCAAAAGAAGCCCGCCCAAACTTTTTGTTTGCCAACCAAACTGTCTTCCCCAAAAGTGTGAAGTCCAGGAAATCCAGCAAGAATAAAAGGTGATCACCTTTTGGACCTCTAAAGTGGACCATGGGAAAACAGACAGATCCAAAGGTCGATTCGCTTTGGGCAACTGAGCCTTGTGTTTGTTCAGCTCCCTAACTCATTGGTCACCTGCAAGGCTTCCATCCGGCTTCCCTTTGCGGAAGTAAACCATGAGGACTAGAAAAAACGGCAAACGTACACAGTAACATAAACCTATGTCACATGTCCAACGAAAAACCCCCAGCATGAATCCCTAGTGAATGGCTCGATTCATCATTGGTTGTTGAGTTACTTTGGGAAAGCAGCTTTTTCTGGGCCCCAAATGGCCATGAATTTGTATTTGTATGCTTTCAACCCGCGAAGCATGGTTGTACGCTATAACTTGGAGCAGCAGCCCATGCCAAACAAACTCAGCCAGCAACTCCTTTCGCCTTTCGGCGATCCCCGTTTTTCGACCCCATGATTCATTAGTGAAGGGATTCCCCCGAATTGGTCACCAAACGGTGGTGTTGCACACACCAAAGCAGGGAACCCATGCTGGCAATCGAAAATCGAGAAGTGACCTGTCCGAATATTCACAAACGCCCCAAACACCCGCCCCTGACTGGAGAGCCCTGATTTGGACCATTTTGCACAAGGAACCTTCTGGCCGGTTCCATGGAGCAACGTGGATTGATTTCCAAGATGGGTACGTGCCCGGCAAAAGCAACCACCAGGGCCACTGGGTTTCTTGGCCTTCCGAAATCCCCTGACCCTTGAAGGGCAATCTCACCACATGAGTGCGTCTTTTCGGGGACCCCCGGTTGGTCGGGCTTTGGGGAGCCGAAAGGAAAACCACCATTTTGGGGGCCCAAAAAAGACACGCTCACTTGAAGAGTGTGCTTGCTCCATCTCTGCCACGTCGCGCCTAACCAAAGGCCGGTTCATCGATCTGGGGATGGCACATAGGACGGTTCCCCGCCGAAGATCTGCCTGGGCATGATTCAAGCTCATGTGCTTGCCACTATCTAGCAGGATTCTGGATCCAAACGTTAGCCAGCTGACTGTACATGGTGTGACTTGGTGGGGTGATTTTCCCAGCTGTCCTCTTCCAGAACACTAGCCACAATGTCCAACCAACAGGAACAAAGGAAGATGCCGAACCTAAAGCAAACCTCTTCACCCTGAAAATAAAAATGGCAAGAAACCCCAAAGAACGAACAGCAACTTGCACGCCAACCCTACAAGCGAGAAGGGAACCAAAATGGCAGAAACCATTTGGAGAAGGCGCCCCCGAAGCTTCGGGGGGGGTGGGGGGGGGGGGTGGGCATACGTGCAACACCTTAAACCGCTTACCCGCATTGATGGCTTGAACTTGAATACCCTCGTGGCGTGGAAAGCCAATGTCACCCCCGTGACTTGTAGACCACCCACCCAACCGACTAGGGCAAGCTGATCCTTGACCAACACACGTTTCCTCGCCCGTGCGCATAAAATTTTGCGCATGCGCAACATGGGAGAGAGACAGTGGGCAGGAGGGGCTGAGGGGCTGAGGCGCTGAGGGGCTTTACGAAGCAGTCGGTGCTTCTACAGCTGTCCTCCTCTAAATCATCACGCCCGCCGTTTCCCTCAACCTGCCCGCCCCGATTTCCTTCGAATAAGGCAAAAAATACCTTGTTTCGGTCTCTCCTTTTGGGAAAAGAGAGAAGGGCTGCAGAATCCTGTGATCTAGTGATGCTTGAACATGGCGGCAACCCGGCCGAAGGCGAACACCTCGGCCCTTTCCAAAAGGATGGTGATGAATGGGGGTTCTCCAAAACCTTCCAATCGTCCACTTCCAATTTTGGGGCCTGGTTCCAAGTTTCGGGCCTGGTTGATTGAAACCGCAGGAAAAAAGAACAATCAAGGTTGGGCCTGCAAAATCTGAATCCTTGCCGGTTCAATCCCCATGGTGAAAGCATAAAAGCTTGCTTCTAACCGCCGCAATGGAGGCAACCAAGAACAAATAGTTTCTCAGACAAAAAAGATCCGAAGCATAGAACCTCCGCTGAGGATGCATGGAGCACAGGAATGCAGCCTGCACTCTTCAGCTCTCGGCATATGGTTTTTCCAAACAGTTCTTCTGGCAACCCGCAAGAAATGAACGGAACCAAACAAAACAGAACAGGGCTGTGGGAAATGACCACTTCTGTGATACAACATAAGGGCTTCCCAAACACGAATGGGGGAGATTCCCAAAAGTATCACAGAAGTGGGGTAAAACCCCGAGTGATCCCACAACCCTGAAACAAAACAACCAAACACATGCTACAAGTGACTTGAACCTGAACTGCAAGCTATTCCCTTGAAAGCCATAGGATGGATATCTCGGGGTTCCAACTCATTCCCTGCCCCCGTTGTCTCCGGGGCCCGCGGCTCGATGTTCGTGCGGAAGACGTGCATGGTGTCCTGGGGCCCGAAGCTCCGTTTGGCTCGGCCCCAAGAATTCCCGAGGAGGACCCCCGAGAAGTCCGAGCTGCAGTGGGTGTGGCAAGCAACTTGTTGCCAGATTGCACCTGTCTTTTTCCCCGAGGAACATCACTTTTGGGACTCTAGAGGACCATGGCTGGGCCAAAGCCAGCTAAACTGGCATGGACCCCATGGTTCAACAAAAACAAAAAAAACAACGTGTGATTGAAGGACCCCCAATCCCCAAAACAGATATAAAGACCGAATCTGTGTTGTTGCTTGCAGAATTCGGATCCATTTTGCTCCCAGCCAAAAACCTTCAGCGCCTCTGAATGCGCAAGTGGGAGAACTAAAATCTATCAATCTAAGCTGCAACCTGAGGCATATCCATGCTTCAAGTACCGAGTAAACCGTCACAGCAGAACCCTTGTCACCCCCAAATGTCAAACTTAAAACGAGGGTGCCGAATTGGAGAAATAATGCAAGAGTTCTGCTTGGATGACCGGAGACAGCTTACGTGTTTTTGCTAAGGGCAATGATGAAGCAACTCCAAATCATTTAACTTCATATCCCGAATGCAACTGGGGATTGCTCGGCAACGCCGCTGGTTGGCTGGAACCAGGTCACGCCTGTCACTGCCTTTGCTTGAGTGAGGCTCACGTGACTCGAGCAACTGGAGTTTGAGACTATGGTGGGTCAGGGAAACGAAGTCGGCAGGGGCAAACCCACCTACTACACTTGTTGTGTTGATCAGGTGAGTCGCCTGGTGAACAAATCGGAAGTGTTCCCGCAAAGTGACCTGGACCCCCTCTAACATTGGTCGCACCTCCTAAACCATGCAGTTCTGAGTCAACTGAGTTGTCATTCGCAAAGCTGGTTATTCACGAGAACGGCAATTGATTCTTGGGCAACCGACATAAATCCACAAAAAAGTTGCCCCCTGCAGATCCCCAGAAAGGTTCTTCAACAGAATCGCCCTTGCTTGCCAAATCTGCGTTCAGCGACGAACGAGCCCCAGAAAAAGGAGCGAGTCCTGGTTTTGTGGGATATGTCGGTGAGCCAGCCGTTTCCTTCCTTGGTTCTAATCAGATGGCACCCAAGTTGTGGGAACTCTTTTCATATACACATATGATAGCCAAGTGAAGAAATAAACACATAAAACACATGTAACAATAAACACCGAACTAGAACTAAAAAGGAAAAAACAAGCTCAATAAATAAGCAAATACATAAATAACAATGAATACAAGCAAACAACAACTATGTACATCAAGTCTTGGGGCAGGCGTGCTCATTCCAGTGACCTTTGTCACCAGATCGGGGCCCCGGCACCTAGGCTCAGCGGCTCCCCCTTCTTGCCGCGCTCCTGGGCTCATTTGAGGCGGGCAATAGCCGAGCGCCTGTGGGGGAAGGCAAGCAAAGCATGGGAATGAGTGATGCCCCTCAGTTGCTGTTTGGGGCCCAGGTGGTGGTCAAAGGGGTCCCTTGTTAGTGGGGATGGCTTTCTTCCAGAAAGATCCCCCTATTAATCACTGGGGGGGGGGGTGTATTTATCAGGGGTCCACATTAACTAGTCCCACCAAACATGGAAGTGCAAAGCCGCTTGAGGAAGATTTGTCTGTGCTCTTCCTGCCAGGCAAAAGAGCCAAGAGAGCCAGCCGCAACTCCAATGACCAGGTTGCAGGGTAGAACATGCTATCATGGAAACTCATCGAAACCAAGCCACATGTCTACCCTTGAATGTTGGGGTAACCCTGAAGTGTGAAGAATCTCAAGCAGTCAAGGTTTCGAACGAGGCTTGCATGCAGGCATTCCGAACGTTCAAACGGGTGGCGTCTAACCCCCACGCTTCTCAATTCGGTTCTTCAACTCACTGCAGCTTGCAGCCGTGGCCCAGGTAACAATTGAAATCGAATTGAGACAATGCTACATTGTACCGCTTATATTCAGCCAAAGTGCATACGGCAGATCTGTTTGTTGTTTTTGGGTTTCAGATATTTGCAGATAAATTGCAATTGGTTTGAATTGATGGTTTGGATTTGGATTTAAACCCCTGCTACTTGTCCAGAAATGAGAAACCAATCAAAAACACCGCCGAACCACTAATCTTGCTAATGAGGGAATGCCCCCTATAAAATCTCCAACTGGTGGCCTCCTTTTTTCGGGGAATCCTCGAAACCGTTTCATTCCCGCATTCCCTCTCACAGCACCAAGTACCAAGTAGTCTCACGTGGGGAACCCACTAAGGAAAACAGAGGCTTGAACAACTTGCTGGTGCGAGGTAGGGAGTGAGAAATGGAATGAACCGCATCCCCTGAAAGGAAGCCACCAGTTGGATTGGTTGTAGGGGTCATTCCCTGATTCTGGGCAAATACGACAACTAAAGAAGGCCAAAGCAGAGGCTTGGATAACGCTCGGGGGCTTCTTGACTAGGTCCTCCAGTAGAGAGGTTGGGAAAAGGGTACCCTTTTTTCTGTAGTCTGTTTTAGTAGGGGAACCCTCCCCCCAAAAGGGTAAAAGGGCATTACTGGGAGACCTAGTTGAGTTTGGTAGGCCCTTTGGAAGACGAAGGGAAACATCCGGAGGCATGACACCCAACGCAAAGGATCATGTTTCTTGCAGTACTCGTGGCGGGCTCACCTGGGGTAAATGGTCCAAGATACTCCGGTCCCTTACTTCGTGACTCCTTCATTCTGCAATCTTGTTGGTAAAAATCCAGCCAAGGAGTAGAGAGCTTCGCGCAAAGGAAAACCACAAATCAAGAGGGTGACTGGGCCTACTTTAAAGGTCCAAGTAGAGGAAATGGAGTGATCCCGGATCAAAGCAAATGTCTACCCTGGAGGCCTGCTCAACTGTTTGCTCGGAGCAACTGTTGCCCCATGGTCTGCGAGGAATCTGGCCCCATCGGTTCAAACAAAACAAAACATGTGGCAGGTGTGTGTGCGCGTGTGTTTACCAGGACTTCATTTTGGGCTTGCGTAAAAGGACAAAACAGTGACTCCAAGCCTAGGCCCTCGTGTAGCCTAGAACCGCATCGATCTGGTGATTCGGCCGAGCGGCTGTGAAGGGAAGCGTCCAAAAGGCCTCCCACCACCACGGCAAACCTGGCGATCGATCGCCCCCGGGCTCCGAATTGGGAGACACGGGGGCGAAAATTGACGTCGCACATGTCTTGGCTGACGTTGGAAGGGGAGCAAAAATTCGAAGTTTAGCAGTTAAGTGGATTTGGATTTCAACCACTAAACCACAATAAGCAAAAATGCAAAATGTTTCCCAACGACAACCATGATGTACCCCCTACAAACGAACAGGAGGAACCTAAAAAGGCGGCCCCAAGAAGACGTTCCAATCCTTAGTAGCAAACAACTGTGTTCTTTTGCAGCCCCTAGTAAAAGAACAGAATCAAAAACTCAGCCTAAAAACATGCCAACAACAGTGAAGCTACTATCCTTGAAAATCAACAGATGATATGAACCATCACCTTCAGCGAAGGGAAGTAAATTGTCCGTGGGATTGTCCCTCCAGTCATTTAACCCGGAACCAGCTCACTGCCTATCCCGCCTGCTTTACAGCCAGAAGATTGTGATGGGCGCAGTAGTTCACATCCTCTTTATGTGTCTTTTCTACATAAACTTGACCAAGGCAGAGGAAAAAAAAACAAACGCAAGACATTGGCACCGAACCCATGGTGGAACCAACCAAAGCTAACATGCGCCCAGGTCTTTCAAGGTTTCAGTCACGCCTACAGAGTCAGTCACACGCAGCAAGCTGACCTTCACCCTCAATGGTGGGCACATCCTTGATAGGGTGCCCGTGAGGAAAAACGGACACCTTGAATTCCGTTGGTTGATTTCCAGGGTGGCCAACCGCAACACGTGAATGAGGGGGTCCAGAACTCACATGCGAAGCTGGGATTCTGCTAACCCAACTCCCCGGAGTGGTCCTTTTGCCACCTGTCACCTATGAGAGCATTGTGCACTAGCAGAACCAGAAAACAACATTAGCAAAATCAGAGGGCCATACCGTTGTCCAAGGTCGCCTAAGGACCACCCTCCCAGTCGCATTCACTGTGCCTTCCACGCCTTCCTGGGCGGGGCCCATGGGAGTCATGCACTGTTTCCCGGTGGGTTGCTACAAAGATGGCAGGGGACAATCAGAGCAACATGTTTCGCGGAGGCTTGAAACATCCGTTCTTTGGCGGGGAGCCCACCAACCCAACAAGGAACCGTAGAAGGTGGCATTAGCCGAGAAAGCCACGGAGAGTGCCGCCACAAAACCAAAGTGCGTGAGGCCCCAACACCGAATACCAATTCTGACGGAGGTGGTGTTAATCTCATATCCCCAGCCATCCCAAATGGTTGCGAACTATTCCATGAGACATACACGGTCACCTTGAACGACAGGGGCCCAACGCTATATTTATCATGGCCCGGCACACGTGGAAATGAAGCAGGCTTTCCGGGCCCACATGTTGGGCTGTGCCAAAATCTCCCAACATGGGCCTTTTTCTCATTGTTTCTAGAGGTCTAGCTTTTTTATGAACCCATATTCTGCTATAAGTATGTCTCACATATGGCCTAAGCATCCGTACCTGGTTGTGGTCGTGCGGGTGGGGTGAGCATGCTGAGCTGGCCCGCAAGTGGCATCAGCAAATGAGCAAGGCTTGCCTATACCACAGTTCAGCGAGCATTCAAATTAGAAGAACCCCCGAGCCAATTGCAACGTTGGCTGAACTTGGGCGCCAAATAGCATACTGTCGACTTCACCGAAAGAAACCAAAAGGGGATGTTTCTTGGTTTTGTTCTGGAACCACTGTTTAGCACCGAATGAGAAACAGGCCATGGATGGACAGTTTGATAAGCTAGGCCAATGCCTCCATTTGCTTAAGAATAGTTGTTATTTTCCCTTATTTGTCTAAACAGGAATTCATCACTACCGGAAATATGTTTATTATTCCTGGGGCCTTAGCCAAATGGAAGAATGCCAGACTCACTTGAAGCTAGGCCAGAAAGACCGCCAGGCCCAACACTACAATCCGGCCGCAAAACCTGTCTCGAGGCATCTCCCAATGTCTCCCAGGAAGGGCCAAACACAGCTTAGTGTGCTCTTGTTGGTGTCTTTGTGCAGGAGTTGATTCAACAAACACTACACGCCGGGAAAGGCTCGCTAGGCAACCATTACTTTTGCCGCATGCTTGTCAGCTTTGGACGCGCAAACGGAACCCGTGCGAAGCGACGGGCCGCTCGGAATCTGGGCCATGGGTTTGGCTGGTGCCAGTGAAGCACTTAACTCCTTGCAGCCCTGCACGCGAGATATGCACCTAGAACGAAAGGAACCAGAAGGCCATGGAACCAAGCGATGCACATGAAACTTTCCAATAAACATAAGAAGCAAATAAGAAGCAACGCATGGCGGCTCGCAAATCCGAGCAAATAAACAGCATGCCAAGAGCCACTATGCCTTGCCCTGCGCGGAGTGAATCATTCAGCAACTGCACTGAACGAGCTGCCTGCCCGCTCCGATCCAAGCACCTGGACGGAATTAAACTTGTTCTTTTGACTTGGTATAGCCCGACCCGAAGAGTTGAAACAACATGTTCATGGCTCCGGGTTTCCTGTCACATGTTCACAGACAAATTCAGGAAACGCCAAAGGGCCACAGAAATGGCAAAAGTTGGCAAAATGGCTGGTCTGGGCGCTCTATTCCGCCAAAAGGTTGGAGAAGAATCGGTTGCCATTGCCCCCAACTGCTTGCACGGACAGCTTGGGGTGTGGAAGGCCGCGGCCGCGTCTCGCGGCGCTTCAGAAATGCGGGCGCCATGGTCTTGCGCCCGGTGCGCCCGGTGCGCCGGGAGCCACTGTGTGCCCTCGGCGCGAGGTGGAAACTTGTCAGCTGGGTGATCAAAAATATGGCTGTGGGTCAACACCCTGTACCCCTGGTGAACATCAAAATAGGTGGCAAGGGGATGCTCACACACACCAAAATGGACCCATAGGTTCTGCCCATGGCCATATGGACCCGGCTTTGGGGGCCTTTCTGAGGCCCTTCTAAGGCCCCGTGAGAGGCATGCCTTCAACGCAAACAGCTGAGTCACTTGGGGTGGCTACCATTTTTGCGCATCACCCAGAAAGGAAAGGCCGAGCTACGGAACAATCTACGAATCTAAGCATGGGCCATGGAAAAGGGGCAAAGGTCGATTTGCCAGTGAGAAACAAGAAAAAACGCTGATCCGTGCGAAGGTGGGCCATTCCCAACGCACGTAAGGGAAAGTAGCATGGGAACTGTCCATTTGGTGAAGATAATTTAGATGGGGATGATCCTTTCCCAAGCAGTTTGGGCGGTGTTCCCTATCAATCTTCGCATCCCCTTAAGGGAGGGTCCACGTGTTTCCGTTCTGGCGAGATACTTACGCGAACCTCACAATCAAGAATTAAGCTGTCAAAGCAGAGTGCTAAACGAGATCGCTGGACAAATCCAGACAAATCAAAAAGGGACCACACAGTCAACACGCAAGGTCAGAAATGCAGGTGCTTTGACACACACAGAAGAAAAAAAAGGCTACGTTGTTGGGTGGGGGGTGGGGAGTTGCAACGGGCTATTGAGAGCCAAGAAAAAAAAGGCATTGACCATCAAAATAATTATGATGCCCAAACAGTGACTGTAGCCCAGAAACGGGCTTTAGCAAGCAAACCAGGGTCCTGTTGCCACAAGACAGTAACATGTCCAAGGGGAAGCCAACGCTACACAGCAACCACAAGTTTTGCCAAGGCAGTCTTAAAAGTTCACAGCACTGGTCATTTCTTAGGGCTTCCAATTGTTTTGGAGTTTGATTTTTCTGCAAACAGAAATGGCCCCGGATTGCAGAGTTGGTCAAATTGAACGGACCAGGGCCACATATGTTCCAACTCAGTCGTTGTTTCGCTTGATCCGAAACAAAAAGAAGAGGCGCCCACCTCCGGCCCTGACTTCGCACCAGGGGGGAAGCGGTGGGGTTAAGGTCTCTCAGCTCACTTCATGGAATTTCAGTGAACCCCCCCCCCCGGAAAAAAAAGAAGAAACAAACATCACCAAGGAACTTCACTTGACAAAAACGTCTTGCCCAAAAAGCTGATAGACGTTCAGAACCCACCCCTTCGGGACCCAAGCCAGTCTCTCCGAGTGAAGCTGTTGCTGCACGCTGACCCGTTGTGCTTTAAGTGATCCAGAGATTTCCAAGATGGCCGACGCCCCTGTTCATTCACAGGTCGAATCCGTCAACCTGACGGCCGCCCACTTGTGTGCATTTGCCGAGCCGCGTCCCCAGGCCGGAGGCCTCGCCCAAAGTGCGGTGAAACGAAGGCAGACGGCGGCGGATGCTCCACAACGTACATGGGTGTGTCTTTTTGGGAGCCCCCACGTGGTCCGAGCCCAGATGTTTTGCACGGGGCCCTGGGAAATGCGTAACAGTTGATTGTTTTGAATTGTTTTGATGTGGGTGGTTTCCTTGCAGGAATCCACTGTGGGTCCATATTCCTTTTAAAGCATTTGGTTCCATGCTACTGGCTCAGTAGTGCAGAATTGTTGGAGGGGCGCGTCCCCCTACTTCACCAGGAAGCGTTGCCCAAGAGTTGACGGTGTGCGCCAAAAAAAGAGAGCACATCCTTAAAAACAGATTCATCTACATGGGCGGTGGTTGGAATCTCTGCGAGTCACCTTGTCCAAACTGGTGGTTGTAAAGCCTTAAAGCTCATTGGAAGGTAAAAGATGCCCCCTGGATTTGGAGGAAACCTCGGCATCCGGTTGTAAAGGCAAGCGGGCATCACTGCTGATTGACCTGCAAGCCTGGAGCCGCGTGGGCACCAGCCTTGTGGCATGGCGTGGGATGCCACGGATGGGGGCAAAATGTGAACATCATGCCGCAGAAACTGAAACGAAGGACCGAAGGGCAGCTTTGTGATGGAGGGAAACATGTGCTTGAAATTCATGTGAAAACAAGAAAACGGCTTTCCAGGGGTTTGTGCACCTCGAGTGGGAAAGTAATCATGAACAAACAAGGGAACTGGAGGTCAGGGATCAAATCAAGGGGCCATTAGCCTGCAAATCAGCTTGATTCCAAAACCTGCACTC